CCCATTTTCTCTGGACTTTGGCAACGAACTCCCTGCTGCTGACCCTAGAGAGGGGAGGTTTCCACGTCACTGCCTATGCTTGCGACCTTGTAATTGCCGTTAAAGGCAAATACCCAAATACCCTAATGGAAATTTTGCGCACAGAAAGTAGGGGACTCGGAATAAACCCTGAAGTAATTCTCTTCACAAGGAAACATAGGCTCCCTACAGTCTCCCCGCTAGTTTTTAAAGGAGTGGAGATGCCTTTGAAGGAGAATGTTAAATATTTAGGACTCATATTAGATACGAAGCTAACGTGGGAACCTAATATAGAGGAGAGAGTTAAGAAGGCCAACGTTTCATTATACACCAATAAAAAAGCGGTCGGAATCAGATGGGGATTAACAACCCGTATTACATATTGACTTTACACTTCCGTAGTCAGGCCTATACTACTGTATGGAATACTTGTATGGTGGCCATCAACTCAAAAGACAAGTTACCCAAAACTCCTGAGCAAGGTCCAAGAACAACGTTTTAATGCATCTCGGTTACTTTAAGGACCACCCCAAACAAAGTGCTAGAAGTGCTAACCAATTTGCCTGCAGTAAATCTGGTCTGACTCCATGTATGGCCATTTTTTTAATTGTAATTAATTTCATATTTTCCTGATTTTTATACCCAAGCGTCTTGCACCTACCTGGCTACGACCATGCATATCGCCGGTGATACTGCAAAACGTTCTATGTCATTTATTACCTCTGGTGCTTAATTGATCTGTTATCTGTATCTGATCGCTTCTGGCAATCGTTCATCTTCATCAGACAAAGGTAGACAGTTTATTAGGGTGTAACGATTTGCAGATGCATTCCGATGCAAGTTAGAAACCATCTATGTGTCAAGGGTATTAATAGACATAGAAACTTTTGCAGTATCACCGACGATATGTTATGTTATGTTGCTCAAAAGATTTAAATATTAAAAAAAAAAAATTAATTTTACCCATTGATATCTTCTTTATTTTTTACTTCAGCCAGATAATTTGGTAGGGTTTAAATCAGCACAAAAAGTTCTATCGAGCCACATTTTTGGTTTTTGCATAGCTAGATTGTTGATATCCTAGAATTATGTGCACGGAACGACCTCGGACTATTTCTGATTAAATTCTGCAGTACGGGAACAGTCTAGCTGTCGGCAAGTTGTTTGCAGATTTGGATTATCAAAGACACAATCCAAATTCGGTAAAAAAGGGTTCCATTCGCTTAAACTCCAAATAAAAGTGGTGTTTAAAGCGAGTTAAACGAAAATTATTTGTTTGGTAATCTCCGTGTTTATTAGTAGTGTTTAACGTTTTACTCCAAAATGGCCCATAGCTCGAGTTAATGGCTCAACGTGATCATAATATTACACCGTTTTACAGCCATATTCTAACAAAGTCACAAACTTTAGCTCATCACTGCTGTGATTTCTACTGCGCCTCAAAGCTTGCCGCTGCAAAAAATATGCCGCTACAAGACAAATTTTAAAATTTTTGTGTTTTTTTCTTGCACTCAAAATCGAATTTTTTGTGACACATTTCTCGGCGCATTAGAAATCACAACAGTGATGAGCTAAGTTTTGTGACTCTGTTAGAATAGAGGGGTCCCTATCACACTTAACTTTGCTTACTAAGTAGTGTTCACCACAATATGAATGGCGTACAGGGCGTAAAATAATAACTGTCGCACAGTCCTTTGTAGATTTTGCAAAAAAAGTATTTTATTGTTAACTTTGTAAATATGTATTTTGCTTAAATTTTATTAATTAGTTTTAGAATTCTAATCCTTATTTGCATTTGCCCGCTTTGGGAGACAAGTACATGTCTTTTTCGGGTGTATGTTTTCTTAGACTTTGTATAAAAAAAGAAAAAAAAGACTACAGGGTTAGTCGAATGAATGGCCTCACAAGTTCCGAGTCTACACGATTGCTGAGTAAGAGGTTTAATGTTGGTCAAAAGGGGGAGTATAAGGGACTCAAATGGAGGGAATTAGCCTATGGTTACAGAAGATATGTAATAAAGTAACAGACGAAGACTTGCGTGCCGCTTGCGTTTTTCTCTCAAAGTGTTTACCGCTGGTAAACCCAAATAAGGTTAAAATTTAAAAACCAATTAATAAAATTTAAGAAAAATCTGGGGAAAATTAACAAAAAAACTACTTCTTTCGCAAAATCTATAAAGGACCCTTTTATATCTCAAAAAATACTGTGCGACAGTTATTATTTTACACCCTGTATATTAGAGTGGTTCATAAAAACACTCTTTTTGGAAATTCATAAACGCTACCTCAAATTATTGTTATTTGTGAAAGAGACACGTATTTTTTTATTTTGAAAAAAAAAGTTTTCTTAGAGGTCGCGTTGGTCGGTTTTTTATAAAAACACTGATGTTCTCAATTTTTTGCATGTTAAAATGCAGCTAAAAATGTGATTTTTACATGTAATTATTCTGATATTAGTGGAGAACTTTCCCCTCAGTACGCACCTGTCTTGGACAATTAGAATGGGTCTAGTACCCGAAAATATGCTCTCGAAAAGACACTAGTAAAATTAAAACGTTGATACTGAACGATTCACGCATTGTCATGGGTTGGAACTTGTTACCAGGAGGTTTCTGTGGTTGGTAATTAGGAAACTGAAGTCAGTTTTTCGAAATTCAAAATGGCGGATCCAAAATGGCGGTCCATTTATTTTTTAATGATTGGATTTGTTCGAAACCCGGCACTCGAGAGTTTTTGAGGTCGCCGATTACGAATCTGAAGTCAATTTTTTTAAATTCAAAATGGCGGATCCAATATTGCAATCAAATTAAAAAAAAAAGTACTGAAATTAAATCGTTGATACTGAACGTTTTAAACATTGTCAATGGTTAAAAAACGTTTCCAGTAGGTTTCTGGGGTTGCTGATTACGAATCTGACGTCAGATTTTCAAAATTCAAAATGGTGGATCCAAAATGGCGACGAACTTTAAAAAAATGATTGGATTTGTTTGAAACTCTTAAATATTTTTCAATATTCATAAAATTGGCGATCCTGCCTGAAGTAATTTTTAACTACGATAAAATTTAGAACCATGATCTTCGGAATGAATGTAATGCAGAACCTAACAAATTAATTTGGATCATCCGGAAGATAAAAATCTTTAAGACAGGAAACATCGAGATGTTATAATATAAAGCAGCCGCAGTAATCAGCTACCAGTCCGCCTTTGAAAACAGCAGCTTCGGAGAGAACATAGACCAAAATCGTTCCTCTAGACGTGGTGCATAGTTCAAATAGTTCATTAAGTCCAAAACGGTTTGGCCCGTTATTATTCATACACGTTAGACGGTGCTACAGACCTGAACTTAAGAAAATTATTTGATGAACAAAACAAAGATAAAGAAATTACATTGTTAGTAGATGATCATTGTAGGCATAGACTAGAGTTAATAGCAATACCCTCTTTAAATATCCAAATTTGGTGTGAAATGTCACTTAGTTCAACAAGGCCATATGTCCCGCAAACGTTACGAAAATTAGTTTTGAGAAATTACATTATATAGCTCATGTAGGTGTTAAAGCAACACGTCGGTTGATCTCAAGTAGATATTTTTGGCCAGGGGTAAACAAAGCTATAAACCAGTGGACAAAAGAATGTGTTAACCGTCAAAAATTTTAAATTTATAGACATACAAGATCTCAAGTTTCGAAAATACCAATTCCAAAAGGACGTTTTGAGTACATACATTTGGATATCATTGGACCTCTTCCCCCATCACACGAATTTAAATTTATTTTAACTGTTATTGATAGGAATTCCCGTTGGCGGAATGGTGAAACGTTTTCACAGGCAACTAAAGGCACCAATTATGGCTAGTGGAAACGCAAGCACATGGTATGAGGAGTTACCTATAGTATTGTTGGGTTTGCGATCATCCTACAAAGAGGACATTCACGGCGAAAATTTAAAGCTTCCTTCGCAAATGGTAGTACGGTCTGAAACTATTTTTAATTCATCTGATGTACTGTATAAACTGAAACAAAATCTCAAAAATTGTGAATCAAGAATATCATATCACAAAAATTCACTCGTTTATATTTCAAAAGATGTATATAATTGCAAATTTGTTTTGGTAAGAATTGATAGGAAAAGAGCAGGTTTTCAGGAACCATATGAAGGACCATTTCGGGTTATAGAAAAGACTCCGAAGTGGTTAAAAGTTAATTATCACAATAAATTAGTAAATATTTCTATAGACCGAGTTAAGCCCGCATTTTTGGATGCAAATAAATTCAGTTCATCCAGCAAGACGAAACTCGTTACATTTAATTTGTTAGATATGAAATTATTTGGAAGATGGGAGTAGTGTAGTAATACATGTTATTGTTAAACACTTGTTCTTAAAATACTTTAATTCATGAAAAAGATCTTGTTACATTTGTTTATGACGATCAATTTTGATTTGTAAACTTTTAAAAATTTTCATTCGTTACATTTAGCTTCAATGTAAAATATATTTAAAAAAATTAAATATTTTTCAATATTCATAAAAAGAACCACCTAAATATATTATGGTAATTACGATCTGCACTAAAACAAATCTCATGTGAAGAACAACTAATTCCTCAATTATACCTTTTTGGTAGTGGTTTTTACGTTTTTTAATAATTATTTTAGTATTTCTTATTTCTAAATTTAATTTTTCGCTTAATTTTTTTAATTCATTCAATTTTAATTTTATTTATACATAGGACATACATAAGTATAACAACAGAAATGTATGCTTTAAAATGAGGTGTGAGGAATTTAAAAGGGGGACTCAGTTTTCTTAGATTTAAGTAGGTAAATTAAATGCCAAGTTTTACGATAAAAGATGCTACTGAGTTCTTCATAGTTAAATAAGAAGTTATTTCAACTTCTCTATTTTGAATGCACCAAAACGAAATACCTTTTAACCTATACATATCATAAAGAATGTTCAAAAATAATTGAAACAACTTACCCAAGCGTTGTCATAGTTACTATAGTGTACCAGAAGGCGGCCGGAATGGACGTGAAATTCGTACCGTTGACGTTCTTCTCTGCATAAAACATAACAGTCGCAAATATTATGATAGCCATTGCCAGCGAAAACACCAGAAACCCCAATTCGGACGCACACGATTTTAATGTGTAACCAAGTATCCGCAATCCTTGTGAGTGCCGTGAGAATTTGAAAATTCGAAATACTCGGAAGACGCGTAACGTTACAAAGGCACCGCTCACATCATCGTTATCGGTGATGCCTAATCCAATATAATATGGCAGTATGGCAACAACATCAATAATACTCATAACACTGCGCACAAACTTGCAGCGATCTGGTGCCGCAAACAGGCGCAACAAATATTCGGCGGTAAATATCATAACGCAGGCGGTGTCGAGGCAGAAAAATACTATTTTATAACGCTCTCCACACGGCAGTGTACCTGCTCGTCCTGGCCTATGGCCACACGGAACAGTCTCCACCACATTTGCCATTACAGAGACAGCGATAAAAAATCCAGTTACATAGTAAAATACTAACGCTGCAGTGGATGTGTGTGGATTCTCAAAAGCACGCCACATTTTTTGTCGTATATTCGTTAACTGTTGTAAATTCTGATCGCCATTTTCCGATAATTTATCGTCCATTAAACGTTCGGCATTCTCACGTTTGCGATCACGGTAATCTTCATAGCAGCAATCGCCAATTACATCCGGCATTATGCCAAAGAATGCCAACTCCTCGTCATAACTGGTAAGGCATTCGTGTTTTGGGTAATGGAGCTTTCCTGTACGGTAATAGTTAAGGATATGCCGAAAAATGTCTGGATCTCTATCGAAGAAATACTCTTTGCAATCCTCGTCATAGAAAAATTCACGCTCATTAGAACCCAGTAATGTGTCGGGGTACTTTTCGAGCGTGTTTCGCCATGTTTCGAAGCGACGACCGGAAACATTGATCAGCAGCTTTTCGTCATCTGTTTTGCGACGATCCTTTGGTATAGGTGGTGGCGGTAGTGGGTGAGTAGCAATTGGAACCCAACCGATGGCCGCCGCCCGTGCAAATGGCAGCCAAGCGGCGACCGAGGCCATACTATGCGGTGGAATGTTTTACACGGAGATTACTTTTATATTATTATCCGAGGTCAGAGCGAGTTGATTCGAAAATTGAACTGTACGTAGTAACAATTGAAATATTTATTTTTCAGGGTTATTTAAGTATATACTCGTTTGTGCTTGAAACTTTTTATACAAGCTTAAGCATTACGTTTTAGTTCTTCAGTAATCTCAAACATGCGATCATACTTTGGGTTACTTGCTTTTTTAAATACCTCAACACGGCTATCTTCTTAAACGCAATAGTGCAAAGTATCAGCATCTTTTATTTCTAAATAGTAAAGTCCAAATTGCGGAGCCATGAAAAAATGCCAATTTCTAATGAAGTTGCCACGTTAAATATTTTCTTCTTCTTAGGTTTGGAAATAAAAGAAATTTCTGCTTTACATTAATACATATTAAATACATATTACCAAGAATTAAAATTTTTCCAAATTTGTTTTTGTTTCGCTTGTTAATTCTTGTGAAGAATTTAATTACATGAAACTGTGGATAGGGTTGATTACAGATATATCACTTTACCAATTTTTTCCCCTCTCTTGATGACTCTAAGATATATTTATGTACATGGTGGTCCATATAGTGGTTTCTTTTAAAAAATTCAAAAAAATATTAACATAAATTAAAGCTTCCGATTAATTCGAAAGAGCAAACATTCCCATTATTTCAGCCGTGAGAGCAGAAGTGGCCTAACCCGCAGTCCATTTTTTGTACTTAACTACTTAAAATAGTTTAAAGTGTTATAAATTTAAAAATAAAAGGCCCCTATTGCGAGTGTCGACTGGCAGTAGAATAGAAATTTGTCGATCGAGTCGATCATATTTTATTTTGCTACTGTGCAACTTGATCAATAAAAATGTGTACTATTGTGAATGGTTGACTGAATTGTAAACAGCTGTTTGTTTGTTTACATTTGTTTCTTTAGTGTTTCATTTACCTCATTTTTAAAATAATTGTTTTTATTATAAAATTTTAAAAATGGACACAGTTGAAATATGGTTAAGTGATGAGGAAGATGATGTGGAAGCTAATAGATTAGTAGAGTTGGCTAAATCAAGGAGGGAATTGCGAGATTAGTCGGATCCCTTGGAGTTGGAAGATGAAGTGTATGTACATATGTGAATTTTATGAATAGAAGTTGCGTTCCCGATGCTTCACGGTTTTTAGGTTTTACAGGATTTGCAGGAAAAGCTGTTTTCCTCATTAACAAACTTTATGGAAGTTTAAGAAATACGGTACGGTTTAGTTATTTGTACAGTGATGTTGGGTATTTGTGTCCAAACGCGTGACCCAAGTTTAAAAACTTTAACATACAAGTGTAGTGAAAGAATTAAACTTTAATTTAAAGTAAAGATTTCAAATTTCCGAGCACTAGTTAATTAATAAATTATGCAGTTTTTTTTAACTTTGATGTTGGTTCTGCGCAAAAACACTGTGGATGGCGTAGCCGTAGTTATGTATATGCACAAGAAATATTGTATAGCTTTCACAAAAGAAGTGGAGCTTCCTCCCCTACTCTTTCCGGAAATTCCTCTGCCTATTTACTCACTCTCCTGCATCAGCTCGACCAACCGCGCAAGTTGCCTTTTGTTGCTTACAATTTTTGATCTGTTATTCAGACACATTGGTACATACATATGTATATTTCACAATTTTTTACAATTTCCAGTTCAATTGACTTATGCCCCTATTGCGAGTGTCGACTGGCAGCAGAATAGAAATTTGTCGATCGAGTCGATCATCTTTTATGTTGCTATTGCGTAACTTGATCGACAAAAATTTGTACTATTGTGAATGGTTAACTGAATTGTAAACGCTGTTTGTTTGTTTACATTTGTTTCTTTAGTGTTTCATTTACATCATTTTTAAAATAATTGCTGCGGCCGCTGTGGTGTAGTGGTAAGCAGTGCGTACTTTCACTCACCAGCACCTGGGTTCAAGCCCTGGTCAAAGCAACATCGCAAAAAAAAAAATTAGAAAAAGGTTTTTTCTTAACAGCGGTCGTCCCTCGGCAGGCAATGGCAAACCTCCGAGTGTATTTCTGCCATGAAAAACAGCTTCTCATAAAAATACAATCGCACGCCACAAATCGGAGGAGAAGCTCGGTCAAACATTAACATATGTGTAAGCGCCAATCTATATACATATTATAAAATTAAAAAAATTGATGCAGTTGAAATATGGTTTAGTGATGAGGAAGATGATGTGGAAGCTAATAGATTTGTAGAGTTGGCTAAAGCAAGGAGGGAATTACGAAATTCGTCGGATCCCTTGGAGTTGGAAGATGAAGTGTATGTACATATGTGAATCTTATGAATACACTGAGGGAAATAATGCATAGTAAAAATGAATACTTTATATTTGATTATCGTTTAAAAATGTTCATATTTAACAATAATATTTTCATACAAAATGTATTACGCACGTATTTGACAGTTCACATCTGAGTATGTATATGTAAGTGTATACGCACCCCAAGCAGCAATAGCGCCGCTCTGCGAGCGGTGACAACACACACACACACACATACATACATAGTACATACATGTTTATCCGTACCCTGCAAAAAATTGTGCGACTAATCTCTAAAGAGAGTATTCCGAGATTACCCTCAATCGGGTACAATTGGGCATTAATTAGTCCCAACTAGTCTCATACGAGCACTTATGGAGGTCAATTAGTCTCGACTCATCCCTTGTGGGTATAATTGGAGATCAATTAGTCCCCAACTCATCTCTAACGGGTACTATTAACGATTTAATGATATGTACGCTCTTAGTCAATGAAATTTCATGTGCGGCGTTGGCACACAGAGAGAGTATTCGCCTAACAAAACGGAGCACCCCGGTTCGAATCTCAGCTGGCGGAAATTTTTACTTTTATTTTTTAAAAGTGACTAGTCGATTTTTATACCCTTTCGGGTATAAATGTGAACAATTAGTCTCTTCATAGGACATGC